ACATATGATTTATGGATAAAAGAATATATTTCTCATTCTTCTATATTAGAAAATAACGATTCACATTTCTCCACGATTAATAATCCACATCCTCGTTTCTTTCATGCTTTTATGCCAGCCCTTAACAATTACCTTAGATCCAACGTCCCGTAGATCAAGTCTATCTTTTGCACAATGGAACGTTTCCCACGTTTTACGGTTTCACCGCCCCGTTCTTCCAACGACACAGGCGAACGTCCCGCGTAAATTTTTGGATCACGTAACGCGATATAATACGTGCCAGAAATATCGATATCCACCATCGAAGCCCTTACTCGCGGGTACACGTCATTAGGAAGGGGAGTCGTTCGCTCGTGCTATCAGTTTTCAACATCCGGACGATTATGCAAATGCGATAATTATTCGGGATTAAATCGAATTCTTAATCGTGACCGGAATACTGGGCCAATCGGTGAACAATATCGGGTTTGAAAATCAGGGGGCAGTTTTATAGCGTAATTGAAATTTTCACGTGTAAATTGCTTCAAATTACTATTTAATTTATGATCATATTTTAATGTAAGTTGTTTGTCAATAGATTATTTCATGATAAAAAAAATGGATTAATTAATGTGAAATTGAAGAAGGGGGCAGCAATACGAGGTATCCTTTTTGTTTTATAAATTTAGAAAAACAATAACCTTAAAAAGAAGAAAGTTCGATAATTAAATTCAGTTACATTTGATCAAAAAACAAAATTAACTAATTTTTCCCTATATATTTGAATCTAAAAAAGTACTAAAAACAATAAAATTTCTCAAAAAAAAAAAAGTCGAATTCCAATAGCTTATAGCTTAATTCTAACAACGCTTGCACGCATACTCTGGAAAAAAAATTTCTTTAAAATCCACGCATCTCTAACAACAATCCCCTCGTAAATGTGCCCGATTTATTCGACTTGGGGCAAGAGCGAGCCGTCAAAAGTATCATTGCAGAGGGGCCGTAACACGGCCGGGTTCCGCTAAATCACTCGAGCCACGCCATTGTTGCATTGTTTCCGAGTGGCGAACAATACGGAACCTCGGCTCGTAATCGTTAGCCCCGCCGCGCGCGTTTATTAGCGCGAGAACGCGCGTCTATGGGGCAACTCGCGCGCGCATAATCCACGCATCATTCCGTCCCTCGCACAGTCGTATACACTCGATCACGCCACGTCGCGTTATATACCGTTACCCCGCCTGTTATTTCGTAACGGGCCATCGTTATTACCGCGAATACGGTCGTCGGTTATCCAGAGAATTGATTCGATACGGCGGTGGGGTGAAGAGTTTGTGGAGGTGGTTTTAGCGCGGTGTTGTCGGTTTTATCCGGCCGTGAAAAATACAAATTTGACAGGGCAGTTAGAGAGGTGTTTTTAGAGCTGGCGATTTTTGATTATCTGTGCGATTAATCGAGTGAATTATTGGAAAATTGTTATCCGTCCGTTACCTTTATTTCAATTTATTGGATATATAGATTTTCATTTTGATGGCCTCTGTGGTATCATATGATTCACATCGTGAATGTATAGCGCTTCGAGAAATATGTAATATTTTGGATTACTTTGGAAACGTCAAATATTTCTTAAGATATCGTTTCGATTGGGGGTTGATCTCCTTCGGTGATAATCTAAAAATAAAATTTGATCGTTAATATTATTATTCGTAATAATAGAAGAAATAATAATAATGATCAATTAATATCGTTTAATAATTAATAATGTTACTGTGAAAAACTTTAAAGATTTTGTATAAATCTTGAAATTTATTAGAATGCATCTTGCACACTCTACGCCTCGATTTTCCCATACAATTTATCAATAGAGGAAAAACAGCAGTTTATATTTGTTTAACATCGAATCTTCAAAGATTTATCGCCCGTTATAAAAGTTTGACAAATTGGATCAGAGCGAAAGCTCGATAGCACGTATGAAAGGACACATTTTGAACGAAATTGAAAAATATATTGCACAAATTGTAGGATTAAATTTGTCGCACGGTCGATTCGTTGAAATCTAGAGACAACGACAATATTGACAGATATTGTTGGAAACGTTACACGTGCTAGATTGGGATCGGAATTAATCGTGTTTTTTCCCTATATTATTGAATGCAGAGTATGGCCGGGTGAGCACGAGATTAAATTCTATCATACACTGTCACGTTCGATTACGCCGATTGCTACGAGTTATATTATATGAAAAACCCCGGAATTGGTGCCCCATTTTTCGGAAAATAAATCGCGATAAAATCATCGAGATTTGACTTCGAAAAGGAGTTTCGACTAATTTCATTAATATGCAACACGTTCTGAATAATGCATCAGCTTTTTATTAAATTTTCGAATAACGATTTTAAAAAAGAAAAATACTAATTTAAAAAAAACCATACAATTTTAATTCCAAAACGAGTTATTTTAAAAAGATTGATATGTTGATTTTTAAGAAATGTAGTAACCAAATTATTAAAATTTGACTTTTAGAAAATGCTTAGAAAATCAATATCTTAGATTCTAAAATTTTAAATAATGCATTCAATTTCATTGAAATTTTAAGATAAAAATTTAAAAATATATTTAAAAAAAATTGCTAGAGTTATCTTTCAGTTTATAAAACAAAATTTCTTAATTTTTCTTATTATTTCCACTAAGTCGAATGCATGAAACGTCCTTCAATGTCCATCGGTCCAAACTATCTAAACTAAACTCTCCAACTCCGTAGCCAAAACTCAAAATTCAAATACAAGTGAAGCCATAGAAACAATCGTATAACAAACCGGGAAACACTTTGAAACGCCGTAATTATCCTAATTTCTGACAAATTGAACGCATGAAACCTCCTTCAACATTGGTCAAATCGTCCAACCAACCCCCAAGTCCAAAACTTTCCAGCCGAAACTCAAAATTCAAACACACGTAGGAATTGTGCAAACAATCGTATAACAATTCAGGGAACACGTTTTCCTCTTCTAAAAATCTTTCTATTTACGATTTCTCCCACAAATTGAGAAATTCGCTGATAATTCCAATTGCACTCGCCACAACAATGCACAACAATGCGCCATTGGAAACTTACAAACAATAACGTGTAGACGAATCTCGTATGTATCGTTGCACACATTCATTCTGCTTTATTCCTCTTTATTCTTTGTGTCAAAGAACACGTATTGCGAAACAGTGAATGATCGATTCTTCTGAATCTTTTATGAGTCTGTAGTACAATGTACAATGTACCTCTTGATCGAAATCTAAATAACAAATTATTTGTGATTAGTTATAGTTCGAATGTTTGCAAATAAATTGTAAAAAAATACATCATTAAATCAATAAATATATATAGGAACACTACGAAATATCATACTATGAAACACACAATACCATATCAATCATTTCATCTTATTCGAAACAAACGGTGTGTGATTCATAATATTCCACAACCCTAAAATGGATATGATAATTTCTTTATTACATATTCCATAATATACATAAGTTTCGTGTAAAAAATATGTAAAAGATGCACAGGATGCGTCGCACTATGAATACACTATTGCATTTCACTTTATTCCATACTATAAAAACACAATAAATTAATGTATATGATAATTATTATCGTAAACGATTAATAACGTTCATAATTTAAAACTACATATAATATATGTAAGCAATTATATAATATATGTATATA